CGTCCCGGAGTTCCTGTAGGCCTACCACGACATGTCCCCAGACAAAAACACACTTTTGTCTCTATGGAATATATTGGTAACATGCAAGAAGAAACAATAGTTATATGCATTTCATATCTATACACTATATATATGCGTGTATCTATATCTATATGTATATGTGTGTGTATATATATATATATCCGCTTGCCCCCTTGCGGCCCCCTTGCGGGGCCACCAGGCTGTAGGCGGGGACTGTGCTGCTGCCTGTACCAGTTGCAGCTTCCAGTTTCCACTGTCACAGTTCTGCTTCTTGCCTTCTTGATGAACGCGCGAGGGGGGGGGAGCCAAAATCAGCAGAACTACCACGCCCGGGGGGGGTTCTCAAAATTTCTATGGGGGTAACAATTTACACCCCTCACGCAGATCCGCAGGGTCAGGGTCCAAAAACACAAGGGATTTGCCACATTTCTCAAATTCGGTATCACCCCTCACGCAGATCGGCGGGGTCAGGGTCAAAAAACATATGGGATCTGCCGCATTTCTGAAATTCGGTGGCACCCCTCACGCAGATCGGCGGGGAATCCGGCAGCACCCCTCACGCAAATCGGCGGGGTCAGGGTCCAAAAACACAAGGGATGTGTCACATGTTTAAAATTCGGTGGCACCCCTCACGCAGATCGGCGGGGTCAGGGTCCAAAACCACAAGGGATGTGCCACATTTCTCAAATTCGGTATCACCCCTCACGCAGATCGGCGGGGTCCGGGTCAAAAAAAAATTGGGATGCGCCACATTTCTAAAATTCGGTGGCACCCCTCACGCTGATCGGCGGGGTCAGGGTCCAAAAACACAAGGGACGTGTCACACTTCTGACATTCGGTGGCACCCCGCACGCAGATCGGCGGGGTCAGGGTCCAAAAGCACAGGGGATGCACCACATGTCTAAAATTCAGTGGCACCCCTCACGAAGATCGGCGGGGTCAGGGTCCAAAAACACAGGGGATGTGTCACATTTTTCAAATTCGGTAGCATCCCTGATGCAAATCCGCGGGGCCTGGGTCCAAAACACAAGGGATTTGCCACATGTCTGAAATTCGGTGGCACCCCTCACGCAGATCGGCGGGGTCCTGGTCAAAAAACATATGGGATCTGCCGCATTTCTGAAATTCGGTGGCACCCCTCACGCAGATCGGCGGGGAATCCGGCAGCACCCCTCACGCAAATCGGCGGGGTCAGGGTCCACAAACACCAGGGATGTGTCACATGTTTAAAATTCGGTGGCACCCCTCACGCAGATCGGCGGGGTCAGGGTCCAAAAACACAAGGGATGTGCCACATTTTTCAAATTCGGTATCACCCCTCACGCTGATCGGCGGGGTCCGGGTCAAAAAACATTTGGGATGCACCACATTTCTAAAATTCGGTGGCACCCCTCACGCTGATCGGCGGGGTCAGGGTCCAAAAACACAAAGGACGTGTCACACTTCTGACATTCGGTGGCACCCCGCACGCAGATCGGCGGGGTCAGGGTCCAAAAGCACAGGGGATGCACCACATGTCTAAAATTCGGTGGCACCCCTCACGAAGATCGGCGGGGTCAGGGTCCAAAAACACAGGGGATGTGTCACATTTTTCAAATTCGGTAGCATCCCTCATGCAAATCCGCGGGGCCTGGGTCCAAAAACACAAGGAATTTTGCTACATGTCTGAAATTCGGTGGCACCCCTCACGCAGATCGGCGGGGTCAGGGTCGGAAAACAAACAAATCCCGACACTGCTTCACGGCGGCGCCCAGACCTCATGATTGAGCTTGTGCATATCCCATTATCCGAGAAAGGGGGCCGGCGGCATGGGGCGAAGGCCTTACGGATATATATATATATATATATATATATATATATATATATCCACACACACACATATATATATATATATACATATAACGGCGCACCGGGTCCGGGGGCCCGGGGCCGGGACCCCGACCGCAAATGTGGGCCCCGGGGGCCCCGGAGGCTCGTCGGGGCTTGCCAGAGGCCTCCCCGGTCAGACAAGACGGCCCAAGAAGCGCCCAAGACGGCCCAAGAAATTTCCAAGAGGCCTCCAAGAGGGCTCCAAGATGCTGAAGATGGCCTCCAGACGTCCAAGGACGCCCCCAAGACGCCCCAAGAAGCCTCCAACATGCGTCCCAAGAGGGCCCCTAGACGCAAAAATTGGCCCATTCCCTTCGTAAAACGTACATTTTCAACAAAGTCGCCTTTTGGGCTTTCCGACGTTACAGGACGGCCCAAGAGGCGCCCAAGACCGCCCCAAGACGGCCCAAGAAGCTTCCAAGAGGGCCCCAGGACAGCCCAAGAGGGCCCCAAGACGGCCCAAGAGGCGCCCAAGATGGCCCAAGAGGGCCCCAAGACGGGCCCAAGAGGGGGCCCAGAGGGGGACCACGAACCGCAAGCTCGAGCCTTCCGCCCCAAGAGGCCGCCAGGAGGCCCCAAGGAGGCCCCTCAAGAGGCCCCAGGAGACCCCCAAGAGGCCCAAAGGAGGCCCCGAGAAGCCCCAAATCGGCCCCCAAAATGCTTCGAACCTGCTTCCAGGAGGCCCCCGACAGGTTCAGAGGCTCCCGAGAAGCTACGTCAAACTCCCAGCGAGCGGCCGGACGAGGCCCCCCACAAAATCACAAGAGGGTTCCAGTACTTGTATCCTTCAGCGCTCTCTGGCCTTCTTCCCCCTGCCCCCTTCCCTGCGACTTTCGTTGGCTCAAGCTCGCCTCCTAACTAGAACCTAAGCGCGCGCGAAGCGCGCGCGTGGTTCTAGTATATATATGTATATATATATATATATATATATATGGCATGCCCTCAGAGCACGCACGAAAGACCGACTGGTCGGAGCAAGACTGCGTCCGTCAGCCAGCAATGTCCTGAGAGCACCTCAGGCAAACCACAAACAAACACAAGACAGCTCGCCGCTTTGGCCCAACCGCCAGCCCAAACGGCGACCATCGAACCGGGCGTAGCCCCGCACGCATTCGAATGCCCACACTTCGTCCTCGTATTACTCGTATTCCTCGCCGTCCTCCTCCCCAACCTGCTCGTCGTCCTCCTCCTCCTCCTCCTCCTCCTCCTCCTCCTCCTTCTCCTTCTCCTCATCCTCCTCGTCTTGAGCGGGCCGGAGGGGCACTGGATCCCCGCGAGGGGGCGGAAGGGGGGGGGGGCGCCTGCCCGTGCTGACCACGGGGGAGGAGGAGAGGAGAAGGAGGAGAGCGAGAGGAGAGGGCGAGGAGGAGGAGGAGGTGAGAGGAGGAGGGGAGACAAACAAATGAGCATGAAAAAAAAGTAGGAGGGCGAGGGGTGAACGGCAGGAGGGGTAGGAGGAGGAGGAGGAGGAGGAGGAGGAGGAGGAGGAGGAGGTGGAGGAGGAGGAGGAGGCGGAGGAGGGGGGGAGGAGGAGGGAGGAGGAGGACGAGGATGGATGAGGAAGAGGAGTAGGAGACGACGCGGAGGATGATAGGAGGGAAAATGAGAGGAGGTAGGAGGAGGAAGGAGGAGGAGGAGGGGGAGGAGGAGGAGGGAAGGAGGAGGAGGAGGAGGAGAGAGGAGATGAAGGAGGAGGGGATCAGCAGTCAGCATGAGAAGGAGGAGGACAGGAAGTGAGCAGCAAGGAGGAAGGAGGAGAGGGAGAGGAGGAAGAGGAGGAGAAGAAAGGAGAGAATGACGGGGAAGGAGGCGGAGGCGTAGGAGGAGGAAGAGGAGGGAGGAGGGAGGAGGAGAGTGAGGAGAGTGAGGCGGAGAAGGAGGCAGGATGAGGAGGAAGGGAGGAGGAAGGGGGAGGTGTAGAGGGAGGATAAGGGGACGAGGATGGCTAGTGAAAGAAGGGATATGTTGCTGATGACGCTGATGACGAATGGCGATGATGAGATGATTGATGATGATGATGAATGATAATTGGCGCTGAAATGATGATGATGATGATAATGATGGATGATGATGATGATGATGATGATAATGATGATGATGATGATGATGATGCTGCGACTGATGCTGATGATGATGTAGGTGATGATAATGACGGTGATTCTGATTATGGTGATGGTGATGATGATGATAATGATGATGATGATGATGCTGATGATGCTGATGGTGATGATGATGATGATGATGATGATGCTGTCTTCTTGTTTTTCCAAGGACGTGCTGCGCGTAGCGCGAGTATGCCCGCAAGGCTGGAATATAGCACAAGGACGCATTTGCGTAGAGGACACCATCAACCACATTCTGCCAACAACGGAATGCAAAACTGTGCAATTGAGATCTCCGCACTGGCGCGGACAACGAATTTGGGAACAAATCCTAATGCTTTAAGCCGGCGGTGGTTTGAGGCCTGATGAGCTGCTCCCCTGCGCCCGACGCCTGTCGATGGCCTCCCCTTTGACTCGGAGGAGCCGGCGACGAACCGCGCCATTGTTAGAACAATCCATGTGCTTCCACAACACATCAACAAGAAAGCTAATGCGGAACAGTGGGATCACATCACAACTAAGTTCACCGAGATATTTTTCAGCTGTCCTGTCAACAATACAACTCGCGTCAGGAACCACAGAACGACATGCCTGAGAAAATACCATAGAACGTTGACTCATACAAACCACGCCAGAGGCCTTATTACCAATGGGCTCAAAATCCATTGAGCGCTCTCCCAAAGAAACGGCCGAAGAAGCACCAGGAGACAACGAACATGCGTTCTTCAACAAATCTGCCAAAGGACCTCCTACAGAATAAGCAACTGGTGAACGTTCGAATATCTTGGCATCAGGGTTCATCGACTGACCTGCGTAAGAATTTACCAAGGTAGCGGCACTTGAGCTTGTCATTCCTGAAACATCGATTTTCTCCGCCTCGAATCCTGTAGCGTTGCCCTCCACGAAATCTTCCAAAGAACCATTGCCACAACTGTAAGGGGGCATAACATCGCCACTCGACTCCAAAAGAACACTTTCGGAATGTTGTACGTCTGGACCTGCAGAAACGTCCGCCCAAGTTGGTTTTTTGGCACTAGCACGTACGGACCATCACACGGGGAATAAGGGCACAGTGGCACCATTTCTTGCGGAAGCGGCCACACATCAAAGTGCTCGTCTTTTTGTCGGGGTGTGCTGCGCTGACAATAGCGAGGGGCGCAAACACCGTCGCAACAATCCAAGAGATCAGATAACTCATGCGAGAGAGTGGCCAACGATGTACCAGAGATGTGCTTCAAAGCCGAATCAGCAGCATTGAGACGACGAAGATGTGTGAGCATAGTGGCTTACTCGTGGATGGCTGCGGCCATCCAGCGACCTTCCTCAAATAGTGAATTGCATCATTGAGCGTCGGCATCGGGGCTCCCGAAGCTCGACTGATCAGACTGCGAATGACCTGCACCTCATCCGCGAGGCAAGCTGGAATAGGCGAGCGGGAGGCAGAAGTGCGATCCAAAACACCAACAGCTTCCTCCAGGGCAGCAGAACATTTGCAATGAACCACAAGGTGGCCCCGCCGAACAGCAAACGCATGCTGCATAATCCCACACCAAAGATAAGACAAACAAAGCCCGAGCGTGGGCAAGTATCAGAGGCTGCACACAGCACGTAATACAAGTGAAACAAATATGACCGTAGCAGCAAATTGGTCGAGAGATCGGGACCACCAGGGGGTTGAATGAGGGGGAGGAGGAGGAGGGGGGGAGGAGGAGGAGGCGGAGGAGGGGGAGGAGG